AAAGAAAATTAATTTTATAAAATTAAGCAAATACTCGCATTCAATCCATTGCAATTTGCAATGCATATTGCATATTGCAATTTGTTATAATTTTCAAGAACAAAATGCAATTGGATGCATTAAAAAACAATTTGAAACTTCAAAAAAAAAAAAGAAAATTAATTTTATAAAATTAAGCAAACATTCGAATTCAATGCACTATTGCAATTTGTTATAAAAATTTGCGGAAAAAAAACAAAATCAATTGAATAATACTGATAGATAATAGATAACAGCATCTTTTATTTAATTTTTTTATTAATTTTTTTATTTTTTTTTATTTTGAAAAGATTCTCTTTCAAGTACTACGAACGTAAGTTTGGTTGGTACGCGTAGCTTTGCGTAGAAATATGCCGACTCGTTGTATCAAAGGTTCATCGTTAAGGTCTTAAGGGTCGCGACCCCCTAGCCAGAAATTCCTTTATCTTCATCTTCGCGTTTTTATTACACCCTCTTTCTCTCTTTCTCTTTCTCATTCTCTCTGGCACTGTCTTCTTCTCAACGTGTGGTGTGGTGTGGTGTTGTGTGGTGTGGTGTGGTGGTACAGCATTGGAAGATGATCAGCTCGATCGATGGCCCTTCGATCCTCTCTCGGCCTCTTTCAAACGAGTTTCTCGAATAAAATGAACAATATGATGAAGAAAATGATGATGATGATGATGATGATCATGATGAAGAAGATGAAAAAGAAATAAAAGAAAATAATAAAACAAAAAAAAAATAAGATTCTCTCTTCTTATGGGATAAATTCTCACCAATTTTTCTTGAATTATCTCACGAAATTATATTGAAAAATATTTTATCGATTGATTCATCAATCGATAGATGAATCGATCGATTATTTATAATATCAAATTCATATATACATATAATAATAAAATTATTTAAATTATAATAGAGAAGAATTAATTGTAACAATAACAAATTTATATTTAAAATAAAACAAATTTTCTTTTATTTCGTTAGGTAAAATAATTTATCGATTGTTTATAATTTAAAATGCATATAATAATTAAATTATATAAATTATAGTAAAAAAAAAAAACAAAAGTTAATTATAGAACAAAAAATTCTATTTTAAACGAAATACATTTTATTTTATTTTATTTCATTATGAAAAATAATTTCGAACAAATTTGTTTTGTATTCTTTCATCAATCTTTTTGTTTTTTTTTTTTTTTTTTTATATTCAACAATTTATTGATTTTTAATTTTTTTATGGATCATATTAGAAAAGAAGAAGAAGAAGAAGAAGAAGAAGAGTTAACTTTAGAAATAAAAAAAAAATAAAATGAAATGAAAGATAAAACAAAAAAAAAAAAGAAAAAATATTAAAACCGATCGTTTGCAACGATATACTTACGATCGGTTTCTCGTGTAATTAAGGTTACCCCATAGAGAGGAGGAGGTTGCAATTAGAAAAGGCTTATAGTAGTAAGGCCGACTCTCTCGCGAATAATGATTTCCTTCTAACCTAACCGGAAATCTATAAAATTAACAGCATATCTACTATAAGGTTACTTTTGAAAAAAAAAAATAACCCAAAATAAAAAATATTCTCTTATGATCTTAGTATTGAACTTCATTGGAAACCAACACAGTGT